CTGAGATACTGGAAGGCTGCTATCCTGTCCCCCCTCGTCCTTCTCTTCATTAAACTAGACATACCCAATTCCAGCAACCGTTCCTTATATGTTTTAGCCTCCATTCCCCTGATCATCTTTGTTGCTCTTCTCTGCACTCTTTCTAGAGTCTCAACCTCTTTTTTACATCGTGGTGACCAAAACTGGACGCAGGATTCCAAGTGTGGCCTTTTTCAAGGCATTGTAAAGTGATCTTTACGTGATCTTGAGTCTCTCCCTCTGTTAATGCAGTCTAGAATTGTGTTGGCTTTTTTGGCAGCTGCAGCACACGGCTGGCTCCTATTTAAGGGATTGTCCACTAAGACTCCGAGATCCCTCTCACAGTTACTACTATTACTACCTCAGTTACCTCAGATGAAAGGCCTCTTTGAAGAGGACGCTCTTTTGACCATTGTAAGAGGGGTCAGATCCACGTGTACATTTAGGGGAAGGGTGCTCTGAAACATGGGGGCTACCATCTTCCTCCTGGCCATCCCATCCCATGGGCCTGTCATGGAGGGGGAAGCCTCCGAAGGTCTGGAAGTTCAGACTGGACAGGCCCTCACGCTTGACAAGGCCGCTCCTGATCTATCCTGGGGCCCCTTTGGGCTTTCTAGGTGATAATCAGCCCTTCAAAGAGGGCCTGGAAGCCCACTAAGAACCGAGGTTGTCCTATTGTGGGGAATTGTCCGGCTAGAGGACATTTTGGACCAGCCCTGGGAGGGGACCTAACAATGTTTGTACAGATTCCTTGACTATCATGACACAAGGCAGGAGTGGAAAGCTTCTGGGAATTGGAATCCCACCGTGTAAGAAGGATTTCTACAAGTATTTTTTGTAGAAATCCTTCTAGTATTATAAAAAAGTATTTTTATACTTTTGTACTATTTTATTTATATGGTTTTATTATTTTAATTTTCTAAGCCACCCAGAGTTACTCTATGGGAAGATGGGCAGCCAATAAATTGGAGCGATGATAGATAAATAGATACTGTAGATGATAGATAGATAGATAGATAGATAGATAGATAGATAGATAGATAGATAGATAGATAGATAGATAGATAGATGATAGACAGACAGACAGACAGACAGACAGACAGACAGACAGACAGATAGATAGATAGATAGATAGATGATGGATGGATGGATAGGTAGGTAGGTAGATAGGTAGATAGGTAGACAGACAGACAGACAGATAGATAGAACAACTTGCCTCTCCTGGAGTTGTGGGTGCTTTGAATGTTCCTCTATCCAGTCACATTTTCTCTGAAAAAATATTCATTAATAAAACATGCTGTGACTGGCCTACAGGACCTAACTTTTGATACAACTGATGTATTTTCTTACAAAAATGAGGTTGTGTTGAAAGTATCTGAACTGGCTTTTATGCCTTTGGAAACATTTGGAAGATCATTGTTGGAGACCAATATTTTGTATGCATTTATAGAATCATAGAACTGGAAGGGACTTTGGAGGTCTTCTAGACCAACCCACTGCTCAAAGCAGGAGTCCTTATACAATTCTGGACAAATGACTGTCCAGTCTCTTCTTGAAAACCTCCAGTAATGGAGCACCCATAATTTCTTGAGGCAAGCTATTCTATCTATCTATCTATCTATCTATCTATCTATCTATCTATCTATCTATCTATCTATCTATCATCTATCATCTTTATCCATCATCATCTCTCTCTCTTATCTATCATCTATCTCTATCTCTATCATTTATCTATTTCTATCTCGTCTGTCTACCATATCTCTATTATCTATCATCTATCTTATCTCTCTGTCATATGTACCTTTAGCTGTTTCGTAGAATCCTAAAACTGGAAGGGACCTTGGAGGTCTTCTAGTCCAACCCCCCAACTCAAGGCAGACGTCTCAATACAATCCCAGCAAAATGGATGTTCGCTCCATTTTTGAAAGGCACCAGTGATGGAGCACCCACAACCTCTGGAAGCAAGCTGTTCCATTGATTGGTGCTTCACGCTCTCAGGCGATTCCGCCTTAGTTCATGAACCTGGGCTAGGAGCAACGGGTGGGCTGGAACGGTGGCCTCCCCTGGCCCAGCACACCCCCCCCAGGACCAGGGGGCAACTCCCTGCTGGCACACTGCACAACCTGCGCACGCTGAGCCAGGTCCACCACCTGGGGCCATCTCGGCTTCTGCCCAGCCACCCTCTGCTGCAGGAAGAGCCCCCCCCAGGGGCTGCCATGATCCTGGGGGGGGGAGGTCTGAGCTGCAACCCACAGAGGAAGCCTTTGGGATGCTCCTCCAAAAGGATCCCTCAGAGAAGATTTCAGCCATTGGGGCTCAGGCAGGAGGTGGGCAGCTGGCGTGGCTGCCCTTCCTCGGACCTTGGTGAGTAGATGCCGAGTGTTCACTGGGAGATTCCAGGACTTTTACTGGGGGAAACTGGCAGGGGCGGGGCGGGAGACTGGCTGCTGAAGAATCGTTCTTGTAGGCATCCGGTTCTCTGAGGCTTATTCTTTGAGGAGCAGTTCCTTTCGATCTAGCTGCCTTCCCTGGATCCATTTCTTGAACCTGAGCAAACGCTGAACGCTGCAGTTCCAGGAGACTAAAATGAACCTCTCCCCACGCAGACCAAGCCTTTTATTGTTAAAAAATCTGGAAGGCAGTGACTAAAGAGATAACAGAATAGCAGAGTAATAATAATAATAATAATAATAATAATAATAATAATAATAATAATAATAATAATAGTAGTAGTAGTAGTAGTAGTAGTAGTAATAATAATAATAATAATAATAATAATAATAATAATAATAATAATAATAATAATAATAATAATAATAATAATAATAATAATAATAATAATAATAATAATAATAATAATAATAATAGTACAAAGTTGGAAGGGACCTTGGAGGTCATATAGTCCAACCCCCTGCTCAGGCAGGAAACCCTATACCATTTCGGACAAATGGCTGTCCAGTCTCTTCTTAAAAACTTCCAGTGTTGGAGCATTCACCGCTTCTGGAGGCAGGTGGTTCCACTGGTTAAATTGTTCTCACTGTCAGGAAGTTTCTCCTTAGTTCTAGGTTTCTTCTCTCCTTGATTAGTTTCCACCCGTTGCTTCTTGTCCTGCCTTCAGGCGCCTTGGAAGGGACCTCTGAAATCTCCTAGTCCAACCCCCTGTTTAAGCAGGAGACCCTCGGCCACTGCGGACAAATGGCTGCCCCGTCTCTTCTTAAGAATCTCCAGTAATGGAGCACCCACAACCTCTGGAGGCAACTTCTGTTCCACTGGTTGATTTTTATCAAAGTCAGGAAACTTCTCCTTAGCTCCAGGCTGGATCGCTCCTTGACAAGCTTCCACCCGTTGCCTTCAGGGGCTTTGGAGGATAGGTTGCCCCCCCCCACCATTTCTCTGCGACAGCCCCTCAAGTACTAAAAGGCTGCTGTCACTTCCTTCTCTTCATTAGAACAGACATTCCCCGTTTCCTCAATGGTTTATTGTACGGTTTAGTCTCCAGATCCCTGATCGTCTCCGTGGCTCATCTCTGCACTCTTTCTGGGATCCCAGCAACTTTTCTCTTTCTTCATCTGAAGTCCTAACCTACTACTACTACTACTACTACTACTACTACTACTACTACTAATAATAATAATAATAATAATAATAATAATAATAGTAATAGTAATAGTAATAATAATCCCAGGTCCTGGGAAAGGACTCGATAGGTAGACAAAATGCCAAATCCAGTCTGAACATCTGGCTGACTGTGCGATGATCAATAATAATAATAATAATAATAATAATAATAATAATAATAATAATAATAATAATAATAATAATAATAATAATAATAATAATAATAATAATACAAAGTTGGAAGGGATCTTGGAGGTCCTCTAGTCCAACCCCCTGCTCAGGCAGGAAACCGGCCTATACAATTTCAGACAAATGGCTGTCCAGTTTCTTCTTACAAACTTCCAGTGTTGGAGCATTCACAGCTTCTGGAGGCAGGTTGTTCCACTGATTAATTGTTCTGTCAGGAAATTCTTCCTTAGTTCTAGGTTGCTTCTCTCCTTGATGAATTTCCATCCGTTGCTTCTTGTCCTGCCTTGAGGCGCCTTGGAGAACAGCTTGACTCCCTCTTCTTTGGGGCAGCCCCTGAGATACTGGAAGGCTGCTATCATGTCCCCCCTCGTCCTTCTCTTCATGAAACTGGACATACTCAATTCCAGCAGCCTTTCCTTATATGTTTTAGCCTCCAGTCCCCTAATCATCCTTGTTGCTCTTCTCTGCACTCTTTCTAGAGTCTCAGCATCTTTTTTACATCGTGGTGACCAAAACTGGATGCCGTATTCCAAGTGTGGCCTTACCAAGGCCTTGTAAAGTGGTATTAATACTTCACCTGATCTTGATTCCCTCCCTCTGTTAATGCAGCCCAGCACTGTGTTGGCCTTTTTGGCAGCTGCAGTTTCCATCATGCATATTCGTATATTCATCTGCTTCCATTTCCATTATGCTTTTGCAGCTCTCCTTTCTTTTCTTAGCAGATCATGGGCTTCCTCACTTACCAATCCAGATATTAAAGTGTTTGATGAGGTCATTCAGGCCAAGTCCAAATTTCTGCTCAGAGCAGGAATCCATATAGAAGCTTTAAGAAAAGTGGTAGTCAGCCCTCACAATCAAGGAGATATTTTCCAAGATATATTCAATCTTGGAATACTAATCAAATCCTGATTAGGTTCCTTGGTCAAGACCCAACTAGGAAACATCATCAGTGCTAGAAGAAAGTTAGGTTTGTGGAGAGGAGGAGGAGGAGGAGGAGGAGGAGGAGGAGGAGGAGGAGGAGGAGGAGGAAAAAAATAATGAGAGAAGGAGAAGGAGTATGGGATCACCTCAATGTCTTCTGCAAGGCTTTACCCAACTTGGGATTGACCAAAAGACAACTCTTCTTTTCAGAGTCAAGACACATCAGCGGTCTGAAGTCCACCAACCTGCCGGCTATGGGAGCAGAGATCCAGAACACCACGGCCAACGTGCCCTACGTGCAATTCGCCCTCATTCCATTCCCGGGTCTCCAGCAGTTCAGGTCCTTCCTCGCCGTTCCTTTCTTCTGCCTGTTTCTCCTCATTGTGACCACCAACTCCGTCCTGATCTACACGGTGAAGACCGAGGAGAGCCTCCATTCCCCCATGTGCCTGCTCATCGCCCTGCTCCTGACGGTCAACCTCTTTGGGACCTTTGCCATCCTTCCCAGAATGCTCCTCAGCCTGCTGCTCCCCGCCAGCCACATCTCCTTGACCGAATGTCTGGTGCAAATGTTCTTCCTTTACTTCACGATGTTCCTGGACTGCAACGTTCTGCTGATTATGGCTCTAGACCGCTTCCTGGCCATTTGCCACCCACTGCGCTACGCAGATCTCATGACCACCAAGCTCCTGGGCTTCCTGATGCTCCTCTCCATGCTGAGAGGTCTTTGCATGGTTGGACCAGTGGTGGCCTTGGCCTCCCAAGTGCGGTTCTGCCGTTCGAACGTCATCAACCATTTTGCTTGTGAACACATGGCCCTCATGAGGTTGTCCTGCAGCGATATCTCCGTGAACAAGAGGGCAGGTATGGCCTTGCGGTCCTTTGAATTCATCCTTGACCTCATCCTCCTCCTGGCTTCCTATGGCCGGATTGTCCACACTGCTCTAAAGATCCGCTCTGGCAACGTCCGTCAGAAAGTCTTCCACACTTGTGGCACCCACTGGATTGTGATTGTCATCAGCTACTCCTCTCGCCTTTCTTCGTCTGTCGTCTTCCGACTCGTCAAATCGTCCTCCCAAGACGTCCACAACCTCATCAGTGCAACCTACTTGCTCTTCCCCTGGACCGTCCACCCTTTGATCTACGGCGTGAGAACCAAAGAGATCAGACGGAGCCTTCTGAAACTCTTTCCAGAAAAAAAGACCTTCTGATCTTCCTTCTTCTTCCGTGTCTTGGCTTTATCGTTGGCCAAAAATAAGTCATTATTGATACATGTTTCTGGTAGTGGCCAACACACCAGCAGATGGGCCAGACTCTGTGCTTCTCCACATTCACACAGCTTGTTATTATCTGCTAGGGGTCTCCACTTGAACATATTGGTTTTATAGTAGCCACTCCAACTCTCAACTCCTCCAAGTAGTATAAGGAACATCAGATCCTTAAGCCAGATCCTCCTTTATTATTAATCCTTGCTCGATAGTCTCCTTCCTCCATCTTTTAGTTTGATTTTGTTCTTGTGTGTTCTAAAGAATGTTCGCAGTAAAGCTGTTTCTAGATCTGAATCAGCATGCCTGGAAAGTCACTGGTCATCCATCTCTCTCTTGGCAGTTCATTTTCTTAAGCATGCCTGGGATTTAACTTCACTGTTTGAATCTTTTGTTTTACTCTGCTTTTTATTTTTAACACTTGACCAGTAGGTTGAATGCTCATTTATTTTAATCTCGTGCTAGACTCTAGTGGTTCTTTAATTTTTCCTTTTCCTATTGATTTATATTGTTGTTTTGAATAACTTTCACTTTTATATAAGGAAACACAGTGTGTCCTTGGATGGTGACAACGTTTTCATTTGATATATTGCAACACGTCACGTGATGCAGCAAGTTTGACACCCCTGCTCTACGAGGATTGAAGGAAATTGGGGAATGGATTCATCACACTTAATTGGAAACCATTTTGAATAGAATAGAATAGAATAGAATAGAATAGAATAGAAAATAGGGAATAGAATAGAATAGAATAGAATAGAATAGAATAGAATAGAATAGAATAGAATAGAATAGACTTCTCCTTGTTGAGAAGTCTTGGGACTGTTGGACCGGTGGTGGCCTTGGCCTCCCGGGTGCGGTTCTGCCGTTCGAACGTCATCAACCATTTTGCTTGTGAACACATGGCCCTCATGAGGTTGTCCTGCAGCGATATCTCCGTGAACAAGAGGGCAGGTATGGCCTTGCGGTCCTTTCAATTCATCCTTGACCTCATCCTCCTCCTGGCTTCCTACAGTCGGATTGTCCACACTGCTCTGAAGATCCGCTCTGGCAACGTCCGTCAGAAAGTCTTCCACACTTGTGGCACCCACTGGATTGTGATTGTCATCAGCTACTCCTCTCGCCTTTCTTCGTCTGTCGTCTTCCGACTCGTCAAATCGTCCTCCCAAGATGTCCACAACCTCATCAGCGCAACCTACTTGCTCTTCCCCTGGACCGTCCACCCTTTGATCTACGGCGTGAGAACCAAAGAGATCAGACGGAGCCTTCTGAAACTCTTCCAGAAAAAGAAACTCTCCGGGGTTCCCAAATCTGGATAAGTTACCCAAAATTGCCTAAAAGTGATTTTTTTGGGGGGTGTAGTGACAAACAACCCATGACCCTTCCCAAGAGGGACAATGGACTTTGATCCATATCTAAAGTATCTCCAAAAATATCTCAAAGTATTTCTATTAAGATGAAAATCAATAGCCAACAATGGTAATTTGCTGAAATGACATCCCTCTTATTTCAAAGGACTTTGAGCTCCTTAAAGCATAATAAAGGTCATTCAATGCCCAGTGCTAGGAGGAGGAGGAGGAGGAGGAGGAGGAGAGGAAGAGGACTATGGTGTCCTTGGTGCCCTCTGAACTGGGTGGAGGAACTGTGGGATTGTTTTCTTGCAGATGTTTCATCACCACACTAGCTGGGTCATGCAACGTCTGCAAGAAAACCGCCAAGCTCAGAGTGCACCAAGAGCTACGAATATTGTCCTCTGTCAGAAGATGTCTACACAAACAGGTCATGAGCAAGTCCACTTCTCTCCAGGAATGGAAATGGAGGTATTCAGGTAGAAGTCCAGACTTTGAGCACGTTCCTTTTTCCCTTTACTGCCTTCAGGAAGGGTCCCAGGAGCTGAAAGCTGGCGATATTGCTGGAGACAATCTGTGTGATTGCTGAGCATTGAGAACAGCTTGATAGCCCCTCATCAATCAATGAAATCGATCAATCTCATCCATTTTACTTTCCAAAGGAAAAGGAAGCCCACAAAGACGTGATTAAAGCCTCAACATAAAGCTGATGACGTCTGCTGTAAGTGCACAAATGTGTGTCACATCTCTGAGGCTTCTGATGGCATCAGCCGTGGCTTAGGAGTCACGAATAGAAGGCACCATTTTCCTTCCCTGCCAGTTTTAGATGGTCTAGACCAGGGGTAGGCAACCTTGGCTCTTTTATGACTCGTGGACTTCAACTCCCAGAATTCCTGAGCCAGCCATGCTGAGGGGAAAGGGAGAGGTTTCCAAGCTGAGCCAGGCTGGCTCAGGAATTCTGGGAGTTGAAGTCCACGAGTCATAAAAGAGCCCAGGTTGCCTGTCAGCATAGCTGGCTCAGGAATTCTGGGAGTTGAAGTCCACGAGTCATGAAGGGGCCAAAGTTTCCCTCATGCTGGCTCAGGAATTCTGGGAGTTGAAGTCCACGAGTCATGAAGGGGCCATAGTGTCCCCATGCTGGCTGAGGAGTTCTGGGAGTTGAAGTCCACGAATCATGAAGGGGCCATAGTTCCCCCATGCTCACTCAGGAATTCTGGGAGTTGAAGTCCACAAGTCATAAAAGAGCCAAGGTTGCCTACCCCTGTCCTAGGACATGATTTAATACTTTACTGAAAATTTACATTGGCACAAAAGAAAGTGAAGCCAGCTCTGGTTTCGCTGCTCGGAGACTTGCTTAGTTGAACGACAGACTCTCTTACCCCACCACCTGGTGTTGACATTGCCCAATAGTAATATTTCTTCTTGTTATGGAAACAGTCCACTTCTCCTTCATCCGTGGCCTTGGCTCTCGATTGCCTAGACATCACTCCCCCACACACACACACACCTTGGCTGTCAACCCTGCTAACATCGGATGTTTTTGCATTGACAACAGATGGAAATGTAGCCATCTTTTTCCGTTTCACGTTTAGAGTTAGATGATGCTGGGAGGGGGGGGAGGATGTGAACGAGAGTCCAGCTAGACATAACAACACTAAACCTAGCGTGAGAATCAAGGTTATTGAGCCCAGAGCTGATAAAGGATTGGCAGACTGGAGAGCTGTAGAGGAGGCCCAGGCTTCAAAGTACTTGGGGAATGTGATTTATGACTGTTAATTGGAGGAGGGAATTGTGCTTTGATACTAGGTGCTCAGGGGAGGGGATTTCAGATTTTGGCTTCGCTTATGCTGTGCCAAATTATGCTACTCAAAATAAATTCTTTAAGGTAAACAATGCCTCAAAGTTCTTTCGAAGAGTTTCATCTGTTGGAACCATGACATTTGCATTCCATTGTCAAGATATGAGCAAAAGAGAAACTCTAGGTCAGGGGTAGGCAACGTCGGCTCTTTTATGACTCATGGACTTCAACTCCCAGAATTCCTGAGTCAGCTTTGCTGACTCAGGGATTCTGGGAGTTGAAGTCCATGAGTCATAAAAGAGCCGAGGTTGCCTACCCCTGCTCTAGGTGAAAAAGTGGATCAGTTTGACACCCAGGCTTTGGAAGGTGGTTAGAACCCATCGCAGACACATCTTTGCCTGCATTTTGCGCTGGCTGGCCAAATGCCCTTTTCTATTCTGTAGCGTCTTGCTTTTTGTTTTCTGTTCTTCTGCTCAAGAATATTCTTTCAGGAAGGTTTCCTCTCATATCTGACAAACAGGATTCCAGGGATGTGTAAGATGGCAGGTCCTTCCCCAGAGGTTTCGCTCTTCCCCCAGGGCTGGCCAGTCCAAGGGACGGCCTGTTCTTTGCTTTCCAGGGTGGATCTTCCACCCTCTGGGGTTACTTACCATCTGGCTCTGGCTGCTTGTCCTACGGAAAATTTGAGCCCCTCGACTCCTAAACAAAGCTCAAAGCAAACTCAAGATTGGACTCTTAAGCGACACTGAATCCCATGCACCAGTTACAGAAGTACAGAATACCAGAATTGGGAAGGACCTTGGAGTCATCTAGTCCACGGGTCGGCAATCTGCGGTTCCAAGCCTCCTCTGCCTTTTGCAGAGAGACAGAGAGAGGCACTTGCACTCTCCCCCCGTGTGTGTGTGTGTGTGTGTGTGTGTGTGTGTGTGTGTGTGTGTGTAAAAAAGAGAGTGGCCTCACCCTGTTCTCCCGAGCTGACAAGCTTATTGGGCAGTGCTCCTGCCTTGGCTGCGTCTCTGCAGGAAGCAGGAAGGGCAGGAGAGAGCCAGCCCAATAAGAATGTGTGTCAGCTTGTTGGAGAACAGCTTGAACCCAGCTTGCTAGGTGAGCAGAAGATCGGAGAGGGGGAGAAAGAGAGAGAGAGGAGAGAAAGAGAAAGGGGGAAAGAGTGGGAGAGGAAAGAGAGAGGGGGGGAGAGAGGAAAGAGGGAGAGGAGAAAGAGGGAGAGGAGAGGAAGAGAAAGAGGGGGAGAAAAAGAGAGGGAGAGAGGAAGAGAAAGAGGGGGAGAGACAAAACGAGAGGGAGAGACAGAGAGAACTCATGCACAGCACCCTCTATTTCTTTTTAATTAAACTCTTCAATCTAGCCACCCCTCCTGCGCACGGTGCACATGCGTGCGGTTTTTGCGGCTCCGTGTTTTCTTTTCTGTGGGAAACGGGTCCAAGTGGCTCTTTGAGTGTTTATGGTTGCCAACCCCTGATCTAGTCCAACCCCCTGTCCACGTAGGAGCCCCTAGACTGTTCATCCTTGGGAACTTTTAAGACTCGTGGATTTCAGCATGGCTGGCTGGGGAATTCTGGGAGTTGAAGTCCACAAGTTTTAAAATGGCCAAGGTTGGACGCCCGTGTCCTATACCCCCCTGGACAAGGCAAGTCGTTCCATCAATTAATTGTCAGGAAATTCCTCCTTAATTCTAGGTTGTTTCTCTCCTTGGTGAGGTTCCATCGGTTGCTTCTTGTCCTGCCTACTTGGGAGAATAAGTTGACCCCCTCTTCTCTGTGGCAGCCCCTCAAACACTGAAAGGCAGCTAGTTCGCTGAGGACTTCCCCCAAAAGTGAACTCAAAGTCATCTACTAACAAATGTACGCCAAGGTCCTTTAATCGTCCAACTGTAACCTTCGTCTTTATTGATGTGTTAGACAGGCCTCAAGGGTTCAGGTCTACAGGCAGGAGTAGCCGAAGACAATAAATAGTTGAAACGGAGGCCACGGACTTTGTTAGAAAACTACCCAGTGGAGTCAAGGAACATCCTTGGGTTCGGCCCAAACAACCCGGCCCGGCAGCCCTGGGCAACCAAGTACCGTCGGGATCTTAACAAAGTTTTCCGAGGGTTTGTGACGAGGGAGAGAGGGAGAAGTTGTTCTAAGAATCCTCTTCCCAAAGAGGGACCAGGGAGACACGGGAAAGGGCAGACTGGAAGGGGCAGCAGAACATCGGAAGGGGTTCCGGAAAGGCACAAGAGGTGTCCGTCAAAGAAGCTCAGGCCGTCTCCCTGGGGGTCACTCAGGAGCAGACTCTCCCACAGCTGTTCAAGGGCACTTAACAGATTCTGGCTACAGCCGCCGGACCCCCCCAGTTTCTGTCTGCTTTCCCCACCCCCAAAATCCCCCAATCCTGGCTTGGCGGCTTTCAAGGGAAGACAAGTAAGCGCAGAACGGTTGCCCAATGACCTACAAGCACAGACTCAGGGCCTGGCTACGCTACACAGGGACCGAGAGCTGCCTAGCCTAGCTGGGGGGCTGGGGGAGGCGGAAGGAGGCCGGGGGCTCCTTAGGACCCGCACATCAGGCACTCGTCCCGGTTCTCCAGGGAGCACACCATGGCCGCCGTGTTTCTCTCCTTCTCCTCCTCCTCCCTGGAGCTCTTCTCCTTCAGCTTCTCCTTGTTGAGCGTGAACTGGATGGGGTTGGCCGCCGGCTTGGTCCGCAGGTAGTACATCCCCGTCTTCAGGCCCTGCAGGAGGCGAGTTCACATCAGCCCCGAGGCCCCCAAAGGCAACCACTGCCGCTTTGGCCCAGTGGGGGAGGCATTGAGGCTAGAAAGCAGGAGACCCTGAGTTCTAGTCCCGTCTTGGGCCTGAAAGCCAACTGGGTGACTTTGGACCAATCACCACGAGACAATGAGTTCTAGTCCCGCCTTAGGCACAAAAGTTGGCTGGATGACTGGGACAATCGCCAGGAGACAGTGAGTTCTAGTCCCGCCTTAGTCACGGAAGCTGGCTGGGTGACTCTGGCCAATCGCCAGGAGACGGGGAGTTCTAGTCCCGCCTTAGTCACGGAAGCTGGCTGGGTGACTCTGGCCAATCGCCAGGAGACGGGGAGTTCTAGTCCCGCCTTAGTCATGGAAGCTGGCTGGGTGACTTTGAGCCAATCACCAGGAGACTGTAAGTTCTAGTCCCGCCTTAGTCACGGAAGCTGGCTGGGTGACTGACCAATCGCCAGGAGACGGGGAGTTCTAGTCCCGCCTTAGTCACGGAAGCTGGCTGGGTGACTTTGAGCCAATCACCAGGAGACTGTAAGTTCTAGTCCCGCCTTAGTCACGGAAGCTGGCTGGGTGACTCTGGCCAATCGCCAGGAGAGAACTGCCCTCTGAGCTTGGTTGTTTTCTTCCAGATGTTTCATAACCCAACTAGGCAACATCATCAGTGCTAATTTGCAGTTGGTGGAGATGTCTGTTCAGGGTGAGCCAATCAGCTTCCTGGGCCTCCCCAGCCCACTACAGGGGGTGCCCTAAAAGGCTGCCCGCTTCCTCTGCCCCCACCCCCACCCCTCCTCCCCGCTCACCTGTTTCCAGCCGTAGAAGTGCATGCTGGTCAGCTTCCCGTAGTTGGGCTCCGCGATATGGATGTTCAGAGACTGGCTCTGGTCGATGAAGGCCCCCCGGTCAGCGGCCATCTTCAGGATGGTCTTCTGGGAGATCTCCCACACCGTCTTGTAGAGCTGCTTCAGGTCCTCGGGGATCTCCGGGATGTTCTGGGAGGCAAAAGAGCAGCCAAGTGGATCCCTGGGCGGTTAAGAGCTGGCAGAAAGCTCGTCTCAAAGCTGAAAGAGCGCAAGAAATCCCAGCAGCCTCTCTGCAGGGATCCAGGCACAAAAGGTCTTTTGAAGGAAGAAGTCTCTTCTTTTTAAAACTTTATTTACTGATTAAACTAGCTGTACCCGGCCACGCGTTGCTGTGGCTCTCGTTCACTCAGCCAACAGATGGCGCTGTTTTTCAAAAAAAAGCATGTTTTTACCTGTCACAGGTGTGACATCTATATAATATAGGTATATAAAAACGCGCGTATTCGAATGCAACGTTGTGTCAAAATTTCAAAGCAGTCGGTGAAGAACTTTCGGAGATTTAAGATTTTGAACAAACGAACATTTACATTTTTATTTATATAGATTTCTACACCGCCCATCTCGGCTAGGTGACTCTGGGCGGTTCACGATATCCTATAATAACGCTCTATAATTACGTGAATAAAATACAGATTAAAAACGGAAGGGGTCAAAACCTACGAGCATACGTAGAAATAAATTAAAAATATAAGCCCTGCATTAAAGGGTCAATGCAAAGAGGCTCAGATGAGCCCAGAGCAGGTCTTTAGCACACTTAGACCAGACTTTAACCAGCTGTTTAGGAAACCCACAAACCTAGATAGGAGCAACCATGATGGAGGGCTACCATAGTTTCATTCCATACAGCATTAACCTCGTGAACTCTCAAGCTTCCTCCTTCTGTTATATATTCAAGATGGACAGTATTTAATATTTATTTGTTATGTATATGTAGGGATGTGGGTTTATACATATGTTGTATATAGTATGTTTTAGGTGTGTGTCATGTATGTGTTTCACTTTGAGAGCGGGCAATTAAATTTCATTTTTGATGTGTGCTGTTGGGCCCACAGTAAAAAAAAATGACAATAAAGGTTATCATATCTTATCTTATCTTATCTTACCTACTGCTGGGATTCAAGAGCTGGAAAGCAGCCCTAAACATTGGCAGACCACCACCCCCCAAGAACCCCTCCAGACACCCCCACCCCGGTAAGACCTCCCAATCGGCCGTCCTCAGGACCACCGGTGGAGAATTCTCCCGTTAACTCTGGCGCGTGTGTGCACGCTGCCTTGTGTAGCTCCTGAATCTGCATTATTTCAAGGGATGAGGCCGAGGGCATGTTGTCTGGGTTCACATATTTAAAAAAACAATCCATAATAATTAAATTTTATAGTTCCGTAATCAATATATTGATTAATGATATATTGCTTTGATCTTCTCTTCTTCCAGTAGTATTCTCCTTTTGTCAACATTAAACAAATATAGTTCTTAATATTTTCGATACATACAAAGTTGGATATAAACATTTTTCTTGTGTTTGTACAAATAACAGCAACATCGGCATATAACATCTTTTCTGATGTTTCAATTGTATTTATAAAAGTCATCTTGTTAAGTCACTATATGTCCTGTTTTCAAGATTCTTATTTAAGCTTAGTTTCCCCTCTGTATTCAAACCATTCTTATCAATCATAATTAACCCGTGGAACAACTTACCCTCAGAAATCATGGGCACTCCATTGCTGGAAGTTTTTAAAAAGAGACTGGACAATCACCTGTCTGAGATGGTATATAGGTTCTCCTGCTTGAGCAGGAGTTCCCCCATGCTGGCTCAGGAATTCTGGGAGTTGAAGTCCACCAGTCATGAAGGGGCCAAAGTTTCCCTCATGCTGGCTCAGGAATTCTGGGAGTTGAAGTCCACAAGTCATAAAAGAGCCAAGGTTGCCTATCCCTGGCTTAGGTCATCTTGGCTTGTTTATACACTAGACACAGGGACAGTGCCTTCCCTCGGGCTCCTTCCAGCTCTATTCTGTTCTATTCTATATTCTATTCTATATTCTATTCTATATTTCTATTCTATTCTATTCTATTCTATTCTATTCTGTATTTCTATTCTATTCTATTCTATTCTATATTCTATTCTATATTCTATTCTATTCTATTCTATTCTATTCATTATTCCATATTCTATTCTATTCTATTCTATTCTATTCTGTATTTCTATTCTATTCTATTCTATTCTATTCTATTCTATATTCTATTCTATTCTATTCTATTCATTATTCCATATTCTATTCTATTCTATTCTATTCTATTCTGTATTTCTATTCTATTCTATTCTATATTGTTTTTATATATATATGCAGATCCTATCCTGCATGTTTTCATAGTGCTCCCTTCTCTCCTCTCCCCGCTTCTCCTGCCTCTTTCCAAGCAGAAGTGGCCAACAAAAGATCATTTTTGCTGGCTTGTCTACCCGGCGACCGGTCTACGGCTGCCGTTCCGGCAACTTCTCCTGTCCCCCCTGCTTTCCTCAAAGCTTCCTACCCTTCCGGGTGGTTTTTCAAAAAAGAGGAAGGAGCATTCTTCTCCCAGGCAATGGAGACAAACTCTTTGGGCAGTCTGCATTTTTTGCCTATTGCGCCTGCGTTGTGCGACCTACACAACAGCCCTGGGTAAGAGAAAGGCAGTTCCACAACGAAGGAGTGCTAGATTAGCTCTGGGGTATGAAGGGTCCCTTGCCTTGCACAGCTGTGTGTGTTTTCCGTGGCGCAAGTCGGGCTGAGCTGAGCGGCGCCCCCACACGCAGCCTCTGGGGCAGGGCAGAGAATCGGGGGGGGGGGCCCTCTGGCCGGGCCCAGCACCATGGGCCGGACGTACCTGGATGGAGCCGCTGAAGGCAATGATCTGGTTCTTCATCTCCTCGTTCCACAGGCCCCTCTCGGTCAGGTCCTTCAGCAAGTGGGGGTTCACTATCTGCCACCCCAAAACACCAGCAGCCACGTCAGGCACCAGGCCTTCACACACACCCCAAAATCACCCCCTTTCAGCCCATCTGTGGCCCACCTCCGTTCCCCTGCCCGCCTCCAAATGCGGGCCCTCCTCCGGCGGTGAGCTTCTCCCACAGACTAGTCCTCAAGATACAGCCATTCGTTTAGCCACCATTCAAAGTTACAACAGTGCCAAACTGACTTAGGACTGGTCCCCCCCCCACTTATTGCACGACTATTGCGTCATTCCCCAGAGTCACATGATCAAGATTCAGTCGGCAACTGGTTTCATATTTATGATGGTCGCAGTGTCCCGGGGAGGGTCATGTGACCCCCTTTTGCGACCTTCTGGGCAAGCCAAGTCAATGGGCGGAAAGCCGGATTCACTTTACGACTGTGTAACTTAATAATTGTAGCGATTCACTTAGCAACTGTGGCAGGAAAGGTCGTAAAATGGGACAATGCTCGCTCAACCGCTGTCTCGCTTAGCAACGGAAATGTTGGGCTCAACTGTGGCCATAGGCCGAGGACTGGCTGTATTCATGACAATCCCCCTTTGCCGCCTTCCCAGCCGGCTTCCGACAGGCAAAGAAAATCAGAGCTGGGGAAGTCGAATTCCCTTAACAGCCATATGTCTCACTTAATGACCACAGCGACTCATTTAACAATCGTGGCAAAAAAGGTTGGGAAATCAGGTGCGGCCTACTTAGCAAACCCCCCCGCTTAGCAATGAAAAGGAGCCCGGAGCCCTGAAGCTCACGGTGGCCCCTGCTGCACGACCCAGAGGGGTGGGCGGCCCTGCTCTTCTTCACCCCTCCGTGCTGCCCCCCTCCTCCCAGGGCCCCCAGGGACGGCCCCCCTCACCTGGAACTCCCCCGAGAGCACCCGGCGGGTGTAGATGTTGCTGGTGTAGGGCTCCACCGATTCGTTGAAGGGGTCCTAGACTCGCCAACTCCGGCACCCGTACCCCCGGTGGTTCTCCGACAAGGCCTGGGGCACGGACCTTGTGTGTGTGTGTGTGTGTGTACCCTTCCTCTTTGGCGCCCTCCTCCCGTCCTACGGGGTCACCGTGGGGTCCTTTTCCCGTCCCCGTACAAAGAGGGGGGTGTCGTCCCCCACTTCCTCATCCCGGCGAGTAGGGTCTCCTACTCACTGAGCAATTTTTGCCTTCAGGGCGCTCCAGTCCCAGAGGTCGGTGGGGGTCACGTTCCACATGTCGTACTGCAGGACCTGCGGGAGGGAGGGGAGGCAGTTCACCCACCCGCCCCACAAGGGAGGCCCCCAACATCCCCACAGAGCAGGGCCTGCCAAATCCCCTTGCCAAGGGGGGGGCAAGGGGGGAGGAGGGGGCTGCCTGTCCAGCTGGACCCTGCAGAGATTCTTGGGGTTTGAAAAGGAAGGCAGGCACCACGCAGACGTCTCACGACCCAACTACGGAACACCATCAGTGCTGCCGCTGCCGATACTGCGTTTCCCCGAAAACAAGACCCCATCTTATATATATTTTGGCACCAGGTTTTATTTGGGGGGGGGATGTCCTACCTACTTACCCTAGGACCGCTGTAGCCAGACCTCCCACGCCCCGACACCTGTCATGCCACTGGCTGAGTCGTTCCGTGGCCGCTTGCAGCCACATGACACATCCCACCAGTACTGCCCCTCGTGGCAAGCCACACGGCTCGTTGCTCTGGTGCTGCCACTTGTGGCGGGCCACGGGGCGTATATCAGTGCCACTGCTCGCGTGCGCCACGGCACAACATGCCGCACAGCATCCAGCCACGAGCGGCGGCACCGGAGCAACACACCACGTGGCATCTAGCCGTGAGCGGCCACAGACCGTGGGACAAGTAAATATCAAGCTAGGGCTTATTTTCGGGAACCGCGGCAGCCCTGAGAACGTTCCCTAGTCGGGTCACGAAACGTCTGCCGGGAAATCCCCAAACCTGGCACTGAATAATAATAATAATAATAATAATAATAATAATAATAATAATAATAATAATAATAAAAAATCAGAAACCCGGATTCTGCGTCCGAAGCTCACAGCTCAAGGAAGAGACCGGCTCTTTCCGAGCAGCCTCCCAGGGGCCGATCCAGACCTCCCCCCTCCCCCCAGCCCGAGCCCCCCTCCCCACACTCACCCCTCTGCTGACGGGGCTGCCCTGGTAGGTCTGGTAGGGCCCCTGCTCCCTGGCCAGCTCGCAGCTGGCCTCCAGCGCCCAGTAGTAGATGGTCTCGAAGATCTGCTGGTTGAGGCGCTGGGCCTGGGGGCTCTCGAAGGGGAAGCGCATGAGGATGAAGGCGTCGGCCAGGCCCTGCACCCCGATGCCGATGGGGCGATGGCGCCGGTTGGAGGTCTCGGCCTGGGGAGACAGGGGGAGGGAGGGAGGGAAGGGGGCTCAGCTGGCCTCGCCTGTTGTGGCTCCGTCTTGGGAGCCCCTCTTATCGGAGGAAGAAGGCTCCGAACATGAAGGAGATGGCTAGGCCTCCCTCTCCAGGACCCTCCTCACTGGCAAGGCCTCAGGTGTCTCCCGACGGAGAAGAGATTGACCAGGAGCCAGGTGGTTCTGGGATTGGCCAGGAGCCAGGTGTTTCGGATAGTGAGGAAGAGAAGTTGTGGCTGGATCCACGCCAGCGTAGGAGCGACAAGCGTGCGCAGCAGAAAAGGAGACGTTCCAGAGATTAAGCTGAGTCACTGGACCACACCCCACAGGCTATAAAAGGGTGGTGGTGGCCATTTGGACCTCTGTGACGGACAAAAGCTGAATCTCTGGCAAAGTAGTGTGCTGTGGCTTTAAACTGTGTGTATTGTTTTTGTTTCTGTGTGCTTGGAGTAAAAGGTCTTGGCAGGCAGCTACGGAGCTGCTGCCAAGTTTCTTATCTGTGAAGTGGTGTCTGGAAGAAGTCTTTAACCCTCGGCTGGCTGTTTGGGGGTGTGGGTCGGAACGGGGACAGAACATCGCCTCCGAGAGCAGGGATGGATCTCCCGTTTGCCCCCCCCCCAGCCCCTTCCCCTAATTATGGCCATCTGATGGGAGCTAGGAAGCCGGTCCTCTCCGTGGCCGCCCCCACCCCAGGGACCCCCCTGCCCCTCCCCCAGACGCCTGGCAGGCCTTGAAGGCCAGCCCTCCCCCCTCCCACCCAAGCGATGGGCAGATCGGTCCCCGGGCTTTACCCTCGATTCCATGTTATTTTTGATCACGTGACTGTGGGAACACCACGACGGCCGTAAGGGCGAAACAGGCCTTGTCCCTGTTTTTTCAGTGCTGTTGCGATTTTGAATGGATGTTAAGTCGAGACCTGCCTGGGCAGGTGAGAGAGGTGGCCGTCTAAAGGCTTCCGGCAAATAAGCCTGCGGGGGGGAGGAGGGGGTCCCCCCAACTGAGAGCGGACCGGCCCCCGCCTTCCCCGCTCCTAGACCCAGACCGCCTCACTTAACGACCGTCACGACTTGCAAGCAGAATGGGCAGGGCTCCATTGCGGTACGGGAACTCAAGGGCTCACCTGTCCAAGCGGGTCAAGATCGCAACAGCACTGGAAAAAAGGAGCAGGGCCTGTGTTTCGCCCTTACGACCGTCGTGGCGTTCCCAGGGTCACGTGATCCGTATTTGGGCGCTTGGCAATTGGCGTGGGTTCCTGCTGTGTGGCCTCCCTCCGTGCCCTCCCCCCTCCCCAGCTGCCCTCCTGCCACCTTTCCCTTCTAGGTGCCGCCTCCCTGCCCCCGGAGGTACCTCCACCACCGGGTAGTGGTTGATGTCGATGATCTTGTTGAGGTTCCGGACGATGACCTTGGTGACCTCGGCCAGCCTCTGGAAGTCGTAGGTGTGCTCCGGCGTCACGTACATGTTGAGGGCTATGGAGGCCAGGTTGCAGACGGCCACCTGGAGGGAGCGAGCGGAGGGAGGTGCTCCCGTGGGCCTCCTCTCCAAGGCCCCCCTCCTCCTCCCCTGGAGACCCCCGCCCCGACGGGATCTGAGCCCTTGGACCGCCCGGCGTCCCGATTCCGAGCTTTGGCCCGGGCAAGGGGGTCCCACCGTCCATGGCCCCTAATTCCCCTCAAACTCTCTTGGCCAACAATGCCCAGCAATGCCAGGAATGGAAAGAGCCGCGGGGAGAGAAGAAGGGAGAGGGGGGGGACTTCCACCTTGCCTCCCTATCGTGGCTTCTCCGTTTCTCAAAGCCAGGCTGGCCCCACTCACGGCTCCTGGCCCCAAAGGAAAGTTCTGGATCAGGTAATGAAATAGGGAAGGGCTGGAGGGCCTCAGGTCCCTTTCGGACACCCTTCTGGGCTTGGCTGAAAGGGACAGGGGACAGGAAGGAAGGAAGGAAGGAAGAAAGAAAGAAAGAAAAAAGGGAGGAGGAAAGGAAGGAAGGAAGGAAGGAAGGGAAGAGAGAGAGAGAGAGAAGGAAGGAGGGAGGGATGGAGGAAGGAAGGAAAGAAGGAAAAAGGGAGGAAAGAAAGAAAGAAAGAAAGAAAGAAAGAAAGAAAGAAAGAAAGAAAGAAAGAAAGAAAGAAAGAAAGAGGAAGGGAAGGAAAGAAAGAAAGAAAGGGAAAGGCATGGAATTGGAGGTGAGGGGAAGGAAGAACAGGGAAGGAGAGGAGGGAAGGAAGGTGGAAGATGGAAGGAGGAGGAAGAAGAAGAGGAAGAGGAGAAGAAGAGGAGGAGGAAAGAAAGAGAAAGAAAGGAAGGAAGGAAGGAAGGAAGGAAGGAAGGAAGGAAGGAAAGAAAGAAAGAAAGAAAGAAAGAAAGAAAGAAAGAAAGAAAGAAAGAAAGAAAGGAAGGAAGGAAGGGAAGGAAGGAAGGAAGGAAGGAGGGAAGGAAGGAAGGAAGGAAGGAAGGGAGGAAAGAAAGAAAGAAAGAAAGGAAGGAAGAGAAAGAAAGAAAGAAAGAAAGGAAGGAAGG